GGAGAGTGAGGCAGCACAGGCAAGATAAACAACTGTCCATACAGAAAGGCGTTGTCCTGGGCTGCTGACGGGCCTCGTCAGAAGTGGACTGGAAACTGACGGTTGGCTTTTCAATATGGTGGAAATGGGCACTTGGGAAAACCTTTGCTTTAGGGAGTAATGTCAGAGAAAGCTGGTTAGAAGTGGAACGGAGAGAGAATGGGAGAAAAGGAATTGGGACTGCAGCTGTAGACAACTCATTCAGGAACTTTTGCTCCATGGAAAGCAAGGAATTGGGTTTGTAGGATGAGGGAGCTTGGGGCGAAGCAGGGTTTTCTTTCACTGCATGGGAGAGATTATAGGCCATCTGCTTGCCTATGACCCTGGGGTGCAGGGGGCTGACTGCCAGACCCGTGAGCACATGTCAGTGAGAAGGGCTGCATTCCATGTGCTGCTGGGGTCATTGGCACAAAGGAGCATGGGTGATTTTCCCCAGGAATGAGAGGGAAGGCAGAGTATAGCAACAGAAGGTGAACCTAGAAGGTTTTCTTCTAGTCTCTGCAGACAATAGGAGGTGAAGCCATCGCCCAAAGTGAGGATGAAAGGCGGACATGTAGTAGATTGAGGAAGAGTGAACTGGTCACTGAGCATGTAGAAGCTGAATGGCACCAAGGGTGGCCATGGATCCTAATTGGGAGTGGCCATGGATCCAGGGTGATTTTGTGGTTTTCTCTGTCAACGTAGACCGTGGAGTGGAGAAGGCAGAACTGGATTTTACCGGTTTTGCCAGGAAAATACAGTAATAGGAGAATGGGGAAAGTTCATAGAGAGAGAAGAGCAATGACTTGACTGTGGTCTTTCAGTTCATTTATTTGTTCATCATCCATCTGTCCACCCATGCATTCTTCCATCTTTCTACCCACCCACTCATTAATCCAACCAGCCTACTCACTTATCCATTCTTCTATTTATCCATTCATCCATCCATACCCATCCGTGTACTCCCTACTGTCTTACTTTTCTCATTGCTGAGACAAAATACCCAGTGCTCAAGGGTAAAAGAGGAAAGGTTTATTGGGCTCATAATTTGTAGAGGTTTCAGTCTATAGGCAGCTGGCTTCAAGGCAGGGTGGCATGGTAGAGGGACGCGGCAGAGGAGAAACAGTTCATGGCAGGCAGGAGGCAGCAAAGTAGGAGAAAAGCAAAGCAGCAAGCAGCAAGGGACAAGCAATGACACTCTTTCTGTCCTTATATCCTAGCCAGGCTACCTACCCTTAAGGCAGTAGCACTCACATACAGGGTGGTACAGCCTTAATCCTACCATTGCACCAGGAACAATGCCAGCATCACATCCTTGATCCCAGCATCACATACCCTAGATCCAGCCACCTCCGAAAAGCTCCACCTATGACTCCATGAGGCTTTGATGGGACATCTAGACACAAGCCATCACACCTGCTTGCCCATCCATCCATTCATGTATGCATCTATCCACCCACTCATTGAGATTCCTCCAAGTGCAACAAGATGCTTCGCTGAGCATAAGAACATGAAGACAAAGGGTGAATGAGGTGACCCTGCTTAGGGAATTTACCATCCCCTGGAAAGCCAGACACTTTAAAAAGCTGTTCCAAAATGATGCCATCTAAAGCCCCACAGCCTGGCAGGGGACTCTCCAGCTCATGCCTTCCAGCCCCAGATCCTTTCTGACTCTGACCCCAGCAGATTTGGGAAGAAGGAAGCAAAGGAAGGGGACAAACACTGGCTATGCCCCCTTGGTGGGCCAGGCACTCATGTGCTGTCTGGAGCTTTTCCATGGAGTCTCCAGGGCTCTCTACCAGGGCCACATATCAGCTTTTCCATGGAGTCTCCAGGGCTCTCTACCAGGGCCACGTATCAGCTTTTCCATGGAGTCTCCAGGGCTCTCTACCAGGGCCACATGTCATTGCTTGTCCCTTGCTGCTTGCTGCTTTGCTTTTCTCCTACTTTGCTGCCTCCTGCCTGCCATATCTCCAGGGCTACAAGTCTCCTCAGTTGCTCAGAAGGGGCCCAGTCAGAGCACATTATTAAAGCTCATCAAATGATTGGGAGGTACAGCTGGCTTACCACAGCTCCCCCCATCATGGCATGGAGGAAATGCCAGGCACAGGTGTCACGGATCACCTCAGGACCTGCCGAGTCACACTAGTTTGGTTTATTCTGCAATCCTTTGACTGGGACATTGCCGTGCTATTTGCAGATGGAGAATCCTTTGCAGAGAGGACAGATGCTACCCAGGGCCACCTGTTGGCTCATCCCAGGAAGACCTAGTCTGCATGGAGATGCACCCAAGGGGAGGGGGGGGCCAGGCCACTATGCTGCTATTCTGGCTCCTCCTGTACCAGCCTGCCAAGTCCCAGAGTCTCCATACCTCAGTGTCTACCTTGTGGGACTGAGGAGGGTTAAATGAGTCTCTGTAAAAACAAACAGCACTGTGTGCTCAAAAGTACTACTTTTATTACAGTGCCCTGTTTCACAGGTGCTCATGCCTAACCGAGGCCTGGCACACACTGCTGGCAGGTCCCTGATTGTACCCTTTAGCTTTGGGCTCTGTGGGAACAACCACAGTGGGTATGATTGGTAGCTGTCACCCAGCCCCAAATGGGACCCAGGGAGAGGTCCCTGGGGAGAGTTGAGAGTTGGAAGCAGAAGAAAGCAGATGGGCAGGGAGCCCACCCTTTCTCAGGCCTGGTAGGAGTAGGGGAGAGGGAAGCTAGGAAGATGTGAGTTAGTGAAGGCTCTAATAAAATATTTATCAGTGAACTGATCTTCCCACTGACTGCCAAGGCCTCCCCTCATCACCCTGTGCCGTATCTGTGCCTCATCCCTCCACTTTAGCTACCCCAGGTGCTAGATGCTCCCCTACCCCTGCTGAGAACCCTGTCTCCTGCATTCCCCTCCCCCACTGTAAGCATAGACCCTAGCATGTCTGCTGACAGTGGATGATGTGACTTCCTGGGCTAGTGTGGACCAGTGAGACAAGGACCTCCAGCAAGGCAGGGAGCTGTCTCTTGCAGCCCAAGTGATGCCCCAGTTTCAGACTCACTGCAGAGAGGAAGGTGCAGCTGTGCAGAGGAGGAGGAGGGAGGAAGAGGAGGAAAGAGCTTCTTCACCAGAAGCTCCCCACTTGGTGATTCTGTCCTGGCAATGGCACTGAGACAGCCCCACTGCAGAGCCCAGCGTGAGTGGCCCCAGGGGCTATGGAGAGCAGGCAGACATAGGCATCTGAGCAGATCCCACTCACTTACACAGCCCTGTGACAGTCAGGCCCTCGAAGCACTTGGAGCCTTCACGGGTGATTCAACATCTGGACAGCTGTGGTCTAGATTTTCCTTTCCTGCTGGATACAAGCTCCATGAGGGCAGGGGCCTGTCCCCTTGTTCCCCAACACAGCCCAGCCTGGCTCCAGCCTGACACATTGCTAATGCCCAAGAGGCAGCTGCCACAAAAATTTGCTTATCTTCCAAGTAAAGGGTATGGGGAGAGTAGGGCCAGGCATATTCTCCAGAGGGCAAAGGTGGACGAGGAGATGGGACATTAAGGTGTGTGTGGCTGATGCATGAGGGGTGCAGGGTGCACAAGGGGTTCCCCATTGGCAGGGAAGCCACTGCTTGCAACCCCGATGCTGAGCTGGAGGCAGCAGAGGGATAGGAGTGGAGAGGAGTGGGAGGAAGCCGTCCTCGGGGGGACAGCCTATCTTGTGCCCCTATCCAGCAGGTGCTTCCTAACAGTGTGCTGGGAATGAGGTCTGCTGGTCCTGGGCTGCACATACCTATCCTCACCTTAGCAAATCCACCCTCCATGAGGACACAATTTCCAGCCTGTATCCCTTGGACGGACATTAGTGTCAGACCCACCCACACCTGGACTGGGGCCTCTCCCCTCGTGGCTGCTCCAGTGGGAAATGGCATCAGCGCCTCCCAGGTGATGGGATTCTCCCCACACGCACTGGAGGTGCCTCTCACCTGCTTAGAGGGGCCTGCACCCCAGGGCACGTCCGCAGGGGAGAGCGGAATGAGTGGCCAGAGTCCACACCCCTCCCATCTCCACCCACTGCTCCTCTGGGCAGCTCAATGCCCCCAGGTCAGTGCCCCATAAGCACCCAACAGGCCTAGCTGGATTAGAGGATCTGCACCACCAGCTACTGGCCTACCTCCCCAGTGTGCAAATAGTGGGCCAGTACACCCGACTTTAAGAAGCACTGCCTTAATGCACTCCAGGGGCTGCGCCAAGGGTCCTGGCCTCTAAAAGCCCTAGGGAGCAGCTGAGGTCAGAAGTGAGAGTGTGCTCCTCCCCTCCCTGGGCAGCAGGATTTCGAGAGAGCGAGGAGGGGTTTCTGGGAGCTCTCTGGAGACCTTAACACAGGGGCAGGACTTTCCTGGCCCTGTGACACTGCTGTTTCCTCTTTTACACAGTGAGCTCCAAAGAGCCCGAGGTGGCTGTGACACCTCCCACCCTGCTTTCGCAGGAAAGCCAAGACTTGAATGAGGCCAGGAACCTGCGATAAAGGCCCCGGGAGGTGCAGGTGCTGGATGATCAGTGTTGACATCCTGGTGATAATGGCTTTAGGGGCACTTCTGTTGGGGGACACCAGGTAGAAAGTATGCAGGACTGCTGTTATGTCTCACAGCTACATATGAGTCTACAGTTATCACCATATAAAGTGATCAATTTTTAAAACTTAGGTATGTTAAAAGTAAATAAATAACCTGAAGTAGTCTGGTCCAACAAGTACAAGTGGGCTCACACCCAGGGGTGTCTCTCTGGACCTAAGCTCCAGGATGCCCAGCCAGCACCCCCTCCTTCTTTGAGCTGGTTTTCTCCTGGGAGAGCCCCACGAGGGGGGCTAGAAAATGTCCCTAAAAGTACTGTGTTGGTACCACGGAGGCATCTGGAAAATCTCTGCTCAGCTGGAAGGCACCGACCCAGCAGGCTGTGGGAAGGGAAAGATTCTAACCTGGCCTTGCTCTCTCACTCCACAGGGCAATCAGGACGCCACGGCTCCGCCTGAGGCGATGGCCCAGCCCTACCCCCCTGCCCAGTACCCCCCTCCGCCTCAGAACGGCATCCCCACCGAGTACGCCCCGCCCCCGCCGCACCCCACGCAGGACTACTCCGGCCAGACCCCCGTTCCCCCAGAGCACGGCATGACCCTGTACACACCAGCACAGACCCACCCTGAGCAGCCGGGCACCGAGGCCAGCACGCAGCCCATCGCAGTGACCCAGACAGTGCCGGTAAGGGGCCCCTGTCGCTCCCCTACAGAGCAGAACAGCTCTGGAGAGGGGGTGGTGAGTGAGGGGCTTAGAAGGGCCTCTGTGTTTGGGGAGCTGCTCCGGTCCAGGGGTCTTCATCCAGCATCCGGGACCTTGCAGTGCTCCTCACCAGTCACCAAGTCTCCTCCTAGTAAGCAGGTACACGGAGGGGTGGGGTGTGACCCTTAGCCTGCCCTTAGCTGTCCCTGGCCTCAGGCAGACCCTGATCTCATCTCAGGTGGGATGAGTGTCCTCAGTGACCAGGCTGGTGACCTGTTAACGGAAGGCAAGGGAGATGGCTAAGGCTGTGGCTTGGGCCCGAGGGGTCCCGGGGGCAAGCTGAGTGGGAGGTGGGGAGGCAGCACAGCTGTCTCAAGTTGCAGGCCCTCCTATCATTTCTAATCACTTGTAATCTACCTGCTTGGCTGCCCTCCAATCAGATAGCTTCAATTATGTGGTTGTAATGCAGCTCGGAGGCGAAAGTGCTGAGCCCTGCACTTCTCAGATTTCCTGATGGAGAAAGGAGCTGGTGAGGAGCAGCCTCTGCCTGGGTGGGCCCAGCATCCAGGCAGCCCCCACCCCAGAGTGAGAGTGGGCTGCTGCCCAGCCCTGCCTCCACCCCACTGCCCATGGCCTCCACCTGCTCCTTCTCCCTGGACCTGCCCCCAACCCCTGCTCTGGGACTTTGTATTCATCCCACCATCCCTGCTGGCTCTGTCCCAGCAGCAGGCTGTGCTGGCTGTCGGGGGCCAGGCAGGAGGCCAGCACACTGCACTCCTGGATCAGCACCGCCCTGGCGCCTCCCAATGGACCCCCAGCTGTGCTCCCTCAGCCACCCCCAATCCAGGATGGATCTAGATGTTACCCCCACACACATCACCCAGTCTGTCTGGAGAGAGCCCACCCAACTGCCTCTCGGCAGGACCCAACCTCATCTGGTGCCCAGCCAGTGCCTTTCCTCTCCCATCAAGTGCTGCCAGCCTGAATCCGCTTGGAAGCTGTCAGAACTTTCCATCCCTCTCACCGGCATCATGGTGCAGATGTCTCCCGAGAACCCCCTCCAGGGTTCCTCCAGCCGTGGACCACAGATGCAAAAGGCCAGACCTATCAGGCCTTAGAACTGGGAGCCAAACCATCTTTCCCAGATGCTCTGTTTCTGATCAAACTCACAACTTGTGTGTGCTCAGAAAAGACAGAGGTATGAGCCTTGATGCCAGAGAAGTTCACCATAAGCTAGTCACAGCCAGGTGGCCCGGATCTCCTCTGAGGAACTATGGCAGACAAGGCCTTGCTAATCAAACCTCCGACAGCCTCCTTATGAACAAATGAGGGTCTCTCCGTGTGAGCCACGGGGCTTTGCCTGGAAGAAAACAGGAGACAAGATGGTCAGGTTCACCAGTGACACAGGGTAAGGGCTAATGGCTCACAACTGAGCAGGAGAAATGAGCACCAAGTCCTCTGAACACCCTGAGGCCACAAGACAGTCAACAGGACCTGCGTTAAGTCCTCTGGTCATTCTGCATTTACCCAGACATATGCTGAGTACCACTGTGTGCCAAGCACTAAATTAGCTCTTAGGGTGCAGAGAAGTGACCAGCTCTGCCTTGTGGTTCCCACTGGTCAGTAACAGAAATGTCAGATTGGTGGCCTGGGAGGATCCTGAGCGAGTCCCTACTCAGGGCCCCGTGCACCTCACGAGGAACATACCTGGACCAGACAACGCCAGAGCCTGGATGAACCAACCGGCAGCCTGACTTTCCTCCCCTCGGGCTGGTCCTCAGGTCCTGCACAAGGGTCAGGGCCGTGGTACAGAGGCGAGGTGGTTCTTCTTGGTGGCCCTAGGCTGAACATGAGCTGCAGGTGGAAGGTACTGGGCAAGAGCTAGAAAGAAGACCTTGAAGATGTCAGGACTGCCCTGCAAAGACCTGGTGCTTCTAGAGGCCTCTCTGACCTTGGAGCACCTGTTCGGGCAGAGCCTTCCCACCTTGGGAGGGAGCTGGAAAGGAGGATGTTCTAAGATTCCTGGAGCCACTTTCCTCCCAGAGAAGCTGCCTGGCACTGGCAGCAAAGGCCAAATGCCCATGTGCCGGGTCAGGTGTCACTGTCCTGTCCTTGCAGATGTTAGGAGGGCTCTTTCAGCTCACTCAGCCTTCTCTTGGCCCTTCCCCAAGCAGCCTGCAGTTAGGAGCAAGGGGCACCAGGGTGGCAGGCAGGGTGGACTCTGGGCTTTGGTCTAAACCTAGCTTCTCCTGCCTGGGTTAGGGCTCCACTGAGCTCCCAGGGTGCAGCTACCAAGTGCCCTGACCTCTTCCCCCCACTATACACACACACACACACACACACACACAAGTTCCTTTAGGGGCCCCCCAGGCATCTGTTATTAGCACCAAATCAGGGCACGCAGCCCCCATACAGGCCCTGCCTCCCTGCCCATCTCCTCCCTAGCATTTTCTTCTGCTGGTGAGCACAGCTGTCCTGGCAGGAGATGTGGCCAGGGCCAGCAGGGAGGGGACTCTGAGAGCCAGTGCAGTTCTGCCCTCAGCCTCCCCACTGATGGTAGCACCACAGTCGGCCTCTGCAAGGCTGCTCTGGCCCGGCCCAAGGTGATAGCAGTGGCCTGCCCTGTCCTTGGGCCTGAAACTGATGGATGGGAAGGATGTGGGCCCCACAGCCCACACATCGTCCTCCTCTCCCCCAGCCAGCATCCCCAAAGACATACACTGGGTTTCAGCTCAGAAAAGGTGGAATTTCTGAATCCATTGGGCCTCTTGTTTTCCTGCCCAGGAGGGTTCCCAGCTGATAATTGGGGAGAATCATGTTCCAGCCAGTTTGGGGACCCTCTTGATACCCCTACCAGGGCAGGATGCCTAACGATGCTAATTAACAGGCAAGCGAATCCTCAGGGAAAGGTTGCCCCACACCACACCATGGTCACTCACCTGCCCAGGCTGCAGGGCTGCAGCTGGATGTAATGGTCAGCCTCAGATCCTTCAAGTGCGGTCACTGGCCAGCAAGATGCTCAGAGTAGCATGTCTGTCATTCACAGTCCAAGCAGGAGCACAAGCTGTACCTTAGGAGGGGCTGACCAGAGCTCTGGGTTTTGAAGACCACACTTCCAGCAGAAGGAGTTAGAGAGCCCCACCTCCAAGGCCAAGTGGCCACTGGCCAGGGATGATCCACTTCTGCCACCAGAACTGACAGCTGGGTCATCAGGCAGTCCCTGAGGGATAGGATGGGCAGAGATGGGGCTGCAGAGAAAGTCCAGTTCCCCTGTGCCACACCAGCAGACTTGGTTCTGGCCCAGCCACAGGGACACCAGGTCCTGCCTGCTGCCTGCAGCCCACCTGGAGCCAGGGCCCCTCCTCCAGCTGATTCTCTTCACTTTGCTGTGCTGTGCTTGGCCCAGGTGCAAGGGGCTGCAAGTTACTCTGCAGGTGGGAGATGGCCCTGGGGATCCAGACCTGCCCCGGCACTCCAGGAGGAGCTGGAGCCTGACCGTGCATGGTGGAAGCTGGAGCGGGAGGAGAGCAGTAATGGCTGGGTGGAGACACCAAAGGACAGCCATGAGGACTGGCAGGAAGGGAGGTGCCCTGCTGTTGGTGTTCCCTTCTTCTCTGTATTTGAAATCTGGAAGAAGCAAAGATTGCTTTAAAAAAAAAAAAAAAAACAACGAGAAAAAAGAGGAAAGAAAGCCCCTTGGAAAAGAAAGACGGCCGCGGAGGTGCCTGGACTGCTGTGATAAATGGTGGGCAGGCTTGCATCTCTGCTCAGGGGCAGCGGCATGCAGTTCGCTCTGGGGTTTCTCCACACATCTTACAATTTTACAGTCACTGAACCCATTTATCTGCCTCTGTCCACTGCTGGGCTGAGGGCAGGGGAGGCGCAGGAGCTCTTCCTTCCGGTGTCTTAGCCCTTGTTGCTCAGCCCATGCATGCCCCTCACCACTTCCTCTCGCCAGGTCCTTGGCTGTACCCTTTTAGGGTCTTTGAGGTGAGATATGGGACACCCCAGCTCCAGGCACCCTAACTTCATCATTGCCATCCTATGGATGTCTTCCTGTTGGCCCCCTTTGCCACAGCTTCCTGGGCTCTTCCAGGTGGCCACCTGGCTGTGATGACCATTGCCCTCTGGTGATCAAAAGCCAGTACTGCATGTCTCAACCAGACCTGATCCCCAAATCTAGAATGATTCCATTAGTCACCTGTAACCAAGAGCACCTGAGGGCACAGGGAATGAATCCTGCATAGATCCCATAGGAGAGAAAGGAGCTACACCCGCCATGGCCAGGCAGTGGGGCTCAGACCTTGGCAAAGACCTTGGGTGCTTGAACAGTTTTCTTGGTTCAAAGGCATGGTCGGCCCTCTGGGGTCTAGCGTAGGCCTGCTTTCTGGGAAAAGGAATGGGACCAACAAGGATAGCAGCTGAATTGGGAGGCCACTGAGCATCTCCAAGCCACCAGGTGTGGATGGAGGAGCCCCTACTGTGTCCTGTAGAGCCAAAGGCAGCTGCCTCGCACTCTCCCCAACAGAGATGGAGAGCTGATGCAGTCCAGACCATGGCTCTTTAGAGGCCCCCACCAGCTGATCCACCACCGAGGTCTTTCCTGCCTGTGCTCACTCCCCATCACTGGGGTACCCAGGTGGCACTTCATGAGCATGTAAGGCTTAAAGAACACTTGTTAGAATTGGCCAGACATGCTTAGGATGGCCAGCTTGTCAGGACCAACCACATAACATTCTAGGGGACACAAGGACAGTTTGGGCCCACGTCCCAGCACAAAAAAAGCAGCATTACATCTTGACAATATTTGAGCAGGAAGCCCCACACCCCTGAAGGTCACCCAGTTCCATGCCCAGCTCACCACTTGGGTTATCATCAGGGCCTTCAGAAGCCCATGGGGTGATGGTTTCTATGGTCACCTAAGGGTAGCAGAAGCCTGATAGGAGGCCTTCTAGCTAAGATGACCTATCTTTCCAGAAAGCTGAATAGCCACTCCAGCTCGAGTCCAAGAGAACCTCTTCTGTTAGCCATAGTGTGGCTTGGGGAAGACTTTGCCCCTATGGGCTCCATTTCTGCAGCTGCAGAGCAAGGCCTTGGTCACGGTGACCTCAGCTGCCACATCACTATCCCAACTGCAAGAGACACAAATCCATCATTGCTCCTGCTCCTGCTGGTAATGAATGACACACACACATGCTCATGCATGCGTGACTGCAAAGCAGGTCCTTCCTTCCTGGACACTATGGGGATTGTTCCTACGTCTCCAAACTCGGCTTTTTTCCTCTCACCAGGACCAAATGCCTCTGCTCCTGAGGGCACATAGGAGACCACAGCCACCAGCACCTTGCTTTGTCTCAATTCCAGCACAGACCCTAACTGTCTCCATCTCAGTTTCAGGAAGGCTCAGACTGGCTGGAGTCAGACCACCCCCTCCCCCAGTGCCATCAGCTGATGTCCTATCCTGGAAACAGACCCAAGTCAAGGGCTCAAGTGTGAGCCATGTATTGAGAAGTTTATCTCCAGCCCAGAGGGCCACAGGGAATCAGGGCAGGAAGTAAAGGAAACCAAGAGAAGGTGTGTTCACAGCAGCTGAGTTTAGCACCATTGGGGAAGCTGGGGACAATGACACCCGCAGAGGAGTCCCACAGCGGGAGCTAGGATAGTTACTCTCTACTGTGCTGAAGACCTCTCTGGACACAAGCGCTGCCGGATACCTGGCCAGAGGGCTGAGCAGGAGAAAATGTGCAGGCTGGCTGGTGGTCTGTGGTCTCCATGCAGGAACATGACAGGCACATGGAAGGCCTCAAGCCTGTGAGTTCAGGGGCCATGAGCTCACCAGCCACCTTGATCCACCATCCATTCGCCCCACCAGTGCCGATGAAGTGCAAGCCCAGTCTGCTTCTGCTGCTACAAGTACCACTGGGACTGAGCCAGGTTGAAGGGCAGCCTCCTGGTGAGCTCGTGGCCCAACTGCTGGAGATGTTCGTACAGACAGAGCCTCACACATGCTGTCTCAGGGCTCCCAGCCTTCTCACCAGGACTTGTGCAGAGTGCACAAGCACATGGCAGCTTTTCTCTTCTGTAACCCCAGCCCTTCAGGGCCCATCTGTCAGCCAGTGTTTGGGTCTAAATGACAATGGCCTTTACAGGACTGACCCTAGCCACCCTAGGCCTGGAGTGGTGGCAGCAGAACTAAAATAAGGAGCCTCTGCTGATGATGGCCATGGGGGTGGACATCCTATGGATATGTGTGCCCGACGTCTGTCTGGTCCTGACATCGGAAGGGTCCCAGGCCCCAGAACTTCCTTGAGCACAATAGTAGTTACTGGGCCTGGTACCTCTGTGGATGGGCTGAGCTGCGGGAGCTCGGAACAGACCCTTCCATGGAGGTTAGCACTGGGGTGGCAGCAGGGAGATGGCCTCACTGGCACCGCTTGGGAAAAGCTTGGAGCTGAGACCTGAGAGGTTGGATTGCAAACCTTGTGGGTGTTGTCTGCACGATTGCCGTGTGAGAGAGGCCTGTGGTCAAGGGGATGGGTGGTCCCTGGCCATCTGGAGGTGGCCTCCGAAGCCTGTCCTCTCCCCACAGCAGACAGATGAAGCGGCACAGACGGACAGCCAGCCACTCCACCCCTCCGACCCCACAGAGAAGCAGCAGCCCAAGCGGCTGCACGTCTCCAACATCCCTTTCCGGTTCAGGGACCCCGATCTGCGGCAAATGTTCGGGGTGAGTGTGCTCAAGCTGGTCCATCCTTGCTCCTACCCCATGACCCGGGTGCCAGAGCAGCTTCCTTCCGCCTGGGGACCCTGTGGGGCAGGACAGGAGGTCTGCTGTGGCAGCCCCATTCCCTGGCCAGAAATCCCCACCACCAGGGTCACTGTCCTCAGGGGCTCCCTAGGGTCCCCTGGGTTATCAGTCTCTGGTTACTGCTTTCTGACTCCTGACCCTAGCAGAGAGCCCTGGGGGGAGAGCCCAGCCTTCTGCCCACACACAGGGGGACAGACCACTCACCCCTGCCCAAGCCTGAGTCCTCCTGGTCCCTAACGAGGTGACCTGAAAATGCACAGTTGATGTGAAGCAAGTGAGGACCCCCACCTGAATCTCTTGTCTGTTTCTCAGTTTTGCGCCAGGGATTCCGGCAGTTGCAGGGCTACCCTTGAGTCCTGTCACTGGACTTGAGCACCTGGAAGGTGCTGACACCCATTGTGCTGGGGCTGCTGCGGAGGAACAGGCTGGGTGCGATGCTACCTCGCAGGCCTGCCCTGGCCACAGAGGACCGTGGAGCCTGGCCTGTGTTTCATGCCTGCCCCTGGACCTGCTCCCACCTCTCCCACACAGTGGGGCAGCTCTGACCCCAAGCCCCAGCCAGCCCCACAGGTTCATTCCACACAGCTGGGACTTGTCAGGGAAATAGGGTGCAGCAGCCCAATATGGACAAGCCCCAACACCCATCTCTAGGGTGACCCCAGAAATCTACTCCCCATCCCGGGATTTGGCCTCATTGGGTTTGGAGCTCAGACTTGCCACACCGCTGACATGATTGAGTCATCAGAGGGAAAGGCTGTGTCCCCTCTCGGCCCTAGGGCTCAGGTGCCACCAGATTTCCCTGGGCCCAGCTCCCCTTACAGCGGCTGACAGCATGGTGCACTTGCTGACCTAGGACCTCAGTGTGCCCCTGCTCACTAGTCAAGAAGCGGAGGCAAGCCTCAAGCTACATCAGGTCCTGGGGTCATAGAACAGGGAGGGTGTGTCCCCCTTTCCAGAACCTGGCAGATTGGGATTTTGTTGCTGTCAGCTCCCTGGGCTTGGAGCCCCCCTCCCCCTCCCTCCAGGGGTGGCTGGTTCAGGAGGCTTCAGATCAAGCCCCTGAGGACCTCACAGGTGGCATTCAGGGACCTGGCTCACAGGTTCATGGCCTCACCCAGCCCTCGGGGCAGGAAGCGGGTACGCAGACCACCTGGTATATCCTGAACAGGCAGGGACCTGGGATCTGGACACGGCAGCCTGTACCCCAAACACAGCTTCCCCACCTAGCACGTGGGGTGGGTAGTATAGGGTCCCACAGGTGTGAGGCCCTCCCCAGTCCCTCCCTCATCCTCATCCCTTTGCCCTTCCCCCTCTCCCACCTACCTTCCCCGTGCTGGGTCTTCCACCTGTCTCTTCCTCCCACTGAAGGGACCCTTGAAGGTCCCCATTTTCTGATCCTAGCTCAGGCCTCTCCCTCACCCTCTCCCATTCCTTGGAGAAGGGCCTCTCCATAGACCTTTACACTTCAGTGTGACTGTGGGGTGGCAGTCCACCCCCATTGTGCCTAGATTGGAGGTTGGGGAAGGACGATCTGCGTTATACAGTTACACATCCCACCCCCGGTCCACAGATGTCACCAGGGTCCAGCCAAAACATGCTCCCTAAGAAGGAAGACCCAGGCTTGCATAAGCAGGTGCCCAGAGCAGGAGTAGAGAGGTACCAGGGCTCCCGTTCCCATGGCTGGGGCATCTCGAGACCACCACAGGGGACAGACTGGTCGCTTTCTCATGCACCCTTTCCTGTCTCCTGCCCTCCTCTCTGTCTCTGTCTTTGCAGCAATTTGGAAAGATTTTAGACGTGGAGATCATTTTTAACGAGAGGGGCTCCAAGGTGGGTGCTGCGCAGAGGCTGCCACCATTTCCGCACCGGCTGTAGGTCCTTCCAGGCTAACGTGTGACATGTTCCTTCCTGGAGAGCTTCAAGCCCAAGGACCCCTGAGCAACACGGGTGCTTGTACTCCCCGCTCTCCCACCCTGCCCCAGCTGTCTGTGTCGTTGCCACCACGCTGCTTCTTCTCTCTGAGCTGCCAGCACCTCTTGCCTGCACCCCGGAGCCCCACCCTGGGCCTGGGACCCCCACCCAACCACTCACCCCCAAGCCCTCAGCTGCCCTTGGACTTGGCCTGCAGGCTTTGGGGAGGGGCTGCAGGATGAGCAGGCCTGGACAGTGCCTAGCAAAGACAAGCCCTGCTCCCCCTCCACAAAAGCGAGACCCTAGTCCCCTGGGCTCCTAGGGCAAAGGTGGGTGGCCCTGTCTCCCCTGAACTGCTAGAGCCCAGCCTCGGCCCCTGGACAGGTTAGCATCTCTATAGCTTCTGCCTGTCCCTCAGAGGTGCCAGGCTGTCAGCTCAGGTTGGGCTCAAGTGGCCAGCAGCTGCGCGCCCTGGGGCCCACACCCCTGTGCATCCTGTGGGTGGCACCAGACAACCTCTGGGCTGCCTGAGCCTCTCCTTGGATCCCCCTGACTCGGCCCCTTCTCTCTCTCCCTTTCTCTTTCCTTCCCTCTCCCCATGGCCCTGCCCCACCCCACCTCCCCAACTCCTCCTTTTGCCCTTTTTTCTCATCCTGTCTTCTCTCCGTGTCTGTCCTCCTCTGCTCGCAGGGTTTTGGGTTTGTAACTTTTGAAACTAGCTCAGATGCTGACCGAGCCCGGGAGAAGCTGAATGGGACGATCGTAGAGGGACGGAAAATTGAGGTGCTCAGATAAGTGTGCGGCGGCAGGGAGGTCCTGGACAACACCTGCCCTGTCCTCTTCCCCGGGTCCCTCTCCAGCCTAGCACTGCCCACCCTGCAGAGAGCCCAGTCAGTGTTCTCCGTGTGGGAGGAAGGGTCACACTGAGGCCCAGCCCTGCCCCACCACCATGTGACTGGCTCTTGTCTGAGCCCGTTGCTTCCCCCTGCTTGATCTAGGCTTCAGGCTCACCCAAGGGTCCCTCTGCTCTCCCCACTCCTTCCCATTCCTGGAAGAGCCCTGTCCCCAACCAGATATCCAGGAGCCCCAGAACCTGCGTGCCTGAGGCTTGGCCGCATCAAGGACTAGGATCAGCCCATCTGTCCCCACTCAGGGAGCAGCTGTGAGTCCCTTCTTCACCGGGAGCACTAGTTCCTGCCCCTCCCCACTGTTAGCAATGTGCTCTTCTATGGTTCGGCCCTTGGCAGAAGCAAAAGCAGCAGCCAGAAGGGCAGCAGGCAGAGGAGCCTGGGCCTCCTGGCCCCCTCCTGCCTCATGTTATGACTCTGGTGCCCGGAGCTGATTCCCACCATAATAGGGCTTAGAAAGGGGCAGGAGGGCCCAAGGCTTAGGAGGAGCCTGTAGGGCACATAGTGGGAAAGATTTGAAGCTAAGCCACTGACCTATTCCAGTGCCCAGTGGATTCCAGGGGCGGTGGCCAGACCCCTTCCTTATTCTCCACCTGCCCTGTTCCCAACTCCTTTCCACACAGGCCACTTGTTTTCTCTGTTCCCTTGGGCAGTCTGACTGGCAGTGTGACATAGGACCCAGCCCCTTGGCACTGCCAATCTAGAGCCCCCGCCCACCTTGCCCCCAGGATGCACAGACCCCATCAGGAAGCTTCCAGCTCTGCAGAGCAGCAGAGGATCCCTGCCAGGAAAGGGGTGCTTCCACGGGGCTGGGGAGTGGCCCTCTTGGGCACACACCTAGGAGGGCCTTGGCAGCTGCAGGAGGAGAGAACATCTCCGGAGCCAGCCTGGTAGCCCACAGCAAGCTTCTCCACAGGTCTTGGTTTGCCCAAGGGGCCGGGGCTGGGTTTATTGGAACTGCTCCGGGAAGAGCACAAGCCATTGGGTCTGGGCCAGGGGCCCTGAGGCAGGCTGCATGGCAGCTTAGGTGCCCCCAAGGGCCTCCTCCAAACCCCCAGCCCCCTCCCCAGAAGCCATGGGGAAGTAGGAGCAGGCCAGGCCGGACCCCTTACCCTCCATCTCCCCCTCTCTGGACAGGTCAACAATGCCACAGCCCGAGTCATGACCAACAAGAAGACCGGGAACCCCTACACCAATGGTAAGAGACCCAGAAGCTACAGGGCTGGATTGGTGGCACTTGGGGATGGAGGCTGCTGCAGATCAGCCTTCCTGGATGCTAGGTTCCCCACCCGCTCCTGGTGTCCCAGCTGTCATGCTTCTGTCCAGGAGAAGAGGATGGTCAGCTAGGCAGCAAAGTTGCCAATTCCTCACAGCTGATGTCTCCCATCAGAGGCCCCTGGGCTTTCCTAAGCATCCATATCACTCAGAGGCCACATATACGGACTTCCAGTGCAGCACACCCGTGGCCACTTCCTACATGATTGCTTCTGTGCTCCCAGGAATTCATGCTTGTAGGGTTGTGTAGTCAGATATACTGCCCTGATTCGCGTACGCACATGTGCAGGAAGGGCCAGGAAGGGTACTGGAGGGCTTTGGACAAGCTTCTAGACCTTCCTAAGCTCCAGTCTCTTTCTCGGCAAGTGGCTAGTGGCTAGTGACATCCATCCACTCACTGCCCAGTGTTGTTAATGACATCTCCAGGTTTGGCCTAGGGCCTGGGATGGAGGTTCTCTGTATTTTGATGCTGATGAAAACAACTATGTCCTTTGGGCTCTGGAAGCCTTTGAAATGGGTGAGGTCTCCAGGCTGAGTCCTGCTGGGCAGTAATGCGGGTAAACTGGTTCTCTATGCACCCAGCTATAGTGGGGCTGCTGCGTTTCCCTTGAAGATTAATGGGCTGATGCTAAGAGCTAGATGGGCTCAGAAGGATCTCTGGTGGCCACAGAGCATCTTATTCTACCAGGCAAGGGTTCTGCTTTGAGTGTAGCTGGTGACATATCCGGGCCTTTTCTAGTTCCTACCGCCTATTAGGGAGCGACTTCCGCAGCCAGGCAGTGTGGTGTGGACGGCCCAGGTCTCCCCGTGAGCAAGCTATCCTTATGTGGGAATAGAGTTTACCATGTCACACTCAGCCTCTCCTGGAGTCAGGTGACTGGCCATGCAAGAAGCCTGCAGCAGGACATGGGCAAATCTGCAGCATGATCTGAACTCAGTGCAGGTCAGGTCCTGGGGTGGAACAGGGCTCTGACCAGGCCCAATTTAGAGGTGACTTTTGTGCCCCCATCCTGCTCTTGTGCCCCCCATCCTGCTCTTGTGAGGACTCAAATCTCAAATTGATTTTAAGAACTCTAGGGTACCCCAACTTTGCTACAGTACAAAGTACACCCTAGCTGTAACTTCTGTGATCTGGCTTCTGGCACAGGAAATAAAAGCAGTACACTTTCTTTTTTTAGGTAGACAAGAAAAGGAAGTAGGATTTATAGGTGAGCATGATGGAAAGCCTTCATGAATGGAAGTCTTGCCATTTGTCCAAGGGACCATGACTGGGGATTTATTTGACCCCACAGCCACAGAAAGCAGCTCTTTCCCACAGCCGGAAAGAGCTGCTTCTCATGTCTTCAAATCCATATACATTAAACATGGGAAAACCCCACTTCTTTGAGATATAGATCTTCTACAGCCAGAGACCTTGAACTTGACCTTGCATGGGCCCTCAAGCACATGCTGCTCTTCTGCAGCTTGGTGTGGATGGACATGATTTGGATAGCCATGATGACTTGGCCAGTGTGAATGCCTGGTACTGTGCCCTGGGCTTTCCAAAGCCACATCAAATAGCTGTCTAAAGCCTAGACTGGGGCAGCACATGGACATCCACTGGAACATCTGTCCCCAAGGTCCCTTAGTTTAATTCATCAAAGCAACAACTGCATATACTGCTGGGAAGCTACTACTTGTAGTCATGTGTCCCACTGTCCCACAAGGAAAGAAGCCAGTTGGTTTAACTGGCTGCGGAAAGTAGTAGACCTATCAGTAAGGTTAGGGTGACCAAGGAGGCTACGAACCACTGCCCACTCTTCACTCAAGATTCCCCATACTGCCAGGCATGGTGTTACAACCCTATTATCACAACTACTCAGGAGGCTGAAGCAGGAGGATCACAAGTTCAAAAGCAGCCTAGGTAACTTAGTGAGACCCTGCTCTAAATAAATAAAAATGGCTGGGGATCTAGTTTAGTGCCAAAGTGACTTCAGTCTCCAGTACTGCTAAACCACCCACCTCCCACTGCTTTCTGGGCAGGACTGGAGGGCTGAGGGGTGTGCCCTGCTGGCAGATGGAGTGAGGCAGAAATCCCTGCCCATCCGTACTGCAAGAGCAGTCTCACTTAAATGCCATCACCAGCTCTGGCAAGAATCGCAAGCTGCAGAGGGATGTCGGTGAGTTCTCTGTGGTTGGTCCAGAATGGCCTGTGGTGCTTTAACCCTGAGCACTCAGTTCCCTGGGCCTGGTGGAACTGCCTACGACTGCAGAAAACCAACTCAGGTGTTGCTATTTATGGTAGAAACAAAGGGGCTGTCCAGGTGAGTGTCAGGTTGCCACTGTGACCTGTGAGATTCTAGACCAATGTGGGGCCAGCAGAGATCGGTAGAGCCAGAATGGACAGGTAGGGGTCCCTAGGAAGCCCAAGTAACAGGTGAGGGTTCCCAGGGCTTCTGACACAGACATTTAGCCTCCAGGGCCCATTGATCCAGGGTGGACCCAAGCAAGCTCTCAGGATGGAGTCCGAGGAAGGTAGCCTGGGTCAGCTGCAGGCTCTGCTCCATCATGGGCGTTCTACTAGAAAAAGTCTATTCTTGGAGTGGGAGGTTTGCCCAGATGAAATGTTTCTTCCCTCCTACCCTTAGATTTATGGGAGATTCCAGAGTTCTAGCAATGGTGGGCAGGGAGTGGAAGCAGCTCACTATCATGGAGGGGTGGAGAGTGGGTCCCTGGGAGGGCAGACCTAGATACACTATCCTGGCTGCCTCCCATCCAGCACTCTACAGTAGGGTATCTGGGTTTGGGGTTCCCACATGGAGTCCACCCCTGATGTCCATGGCCACCCTCTCCAGGACAGATCTTGCAGCTGGCCAGTGGGTTCAGGTCCCCTCTGCTTCTCCTCACACAGTGCAGAAGGACCATGCTGCGCAGATAGGACCCAAGCCCAGCTGAGGAGGGGGAGTGTGGCCCAGGGAAAGAAGTCCTCCTGCCCACCCTGCCTGAATGCCTGGCTGGAGCCCACTCAAAGCCACTGGTTTCCACCCCCTTCGGCCTTCAGGTGGAGTCAGATCCCTAAGGGGAGAAGACTGACCCACTGACAGGAAGGGAGAAGCAACATGCTGATTCTAGCTGGGACCCAGGGAAGGAGTGGCTTGAGGCTGCAGGTTCAGATCTGCAGCCCTCCCCACCTTTATGACCCAAGTCTCTCCTAAGCCTCCACTTCACTATCTGTAAAGTGGAAAGGGTGATGCCTACCTATTGGTGGCGATCACCCCAAAGGTTTAGTGCTCTGGAACTATTAATAGTCATCATTCTTGTCCCAACTGAGGAGGAGGCAGGTGGCCCGGTGAAAGACGACCTCCTGCCCACCCTGTCTGAATGCCAGTCCAGTGGCCCTTCCTCTCCCTCCTGGCCCACAGCCCTATGAGTGAGTAGAGAAAAGACAGCAGTGAGCAGCTATTCACACAGGGGAAAGGAAGCCCCTGGGAGCTGGAACAGGAGACAGGAGAGGCCCTGAGACACAATCCCTCATCCCAACTGCGACTACAGCATCTATAGACCACTTTCCACTTCCCCTTACACCCTAAGCTTCAGGAGCAGGCTGTGGAGGACAGAATCCAAGAAGAACCTAAAGGGGCAGGTCAAGAGTGAAAGGGCCCCAGCTCTTCCAGCCCCTGGTGGCTGCAGCGCCAGAGGGGCCTCAGGGCAGGCCAAAGGCCCTGCCCTTGGAAAACCGAGTGGGTCAGCCCGCTGTCTCTGTGGTCCTGAGAGTAGGTTAGATTGGCTTGGAAGGATCGTGACTGGCCTGTATTTCTGCTCTAGGTTGGAAGCTAAATCCCGTGGTAGGCGCGGTCTATGGACCTGAATTCTATGCAGGTAAAGTCAGGGACAGGTGGGCTTGGCCAGGGGAGGGGGCAGCGGCCTGGACTGGAGGGGGCGGGGGACAGGGCGCCAGCCTGGGCTCTCTCCTGCCCTCGTGCACCTTCCCTCTCCCACTCTTTCTCCCGCCCCTTTCCTGCAGTGACCGGCTTCCCCTACCCTACCACCGGCACCGCCGTTGCCTACCGGGGCGCACACCTCCGGGGCCGGGGCCGGGCCGTGTATAACACATTTCGGGCTGCGCCGCCGCCGCCCCCCATTCCGACTTATGGAGCGTGAGTACCTGCTGGGGGAGCTGGAGGGAGGCCCAGGGGGCGGGGTGCGGGAGGTCCTGGGTGGAGGGTGAGGGTCTCGGCAGCCTTTCCAGAACTCATCCTCAGTTCCCCTACCCGACCACAGGGGACGCCGTCAAGGGTCACTGCCTTATCAGGACGGTTAGCACTGGCACCTGATCCAGATGCTTTAATAGGGCATCCTCTGCCCTTGGGCCCAGCGAGGGGCTTCTCGGAGCCCTTCCTGGTCCTTTTCCCCGGGGTCCCATGCCCTCCACCGCTGAATGGGGGGGCAGCTGCCTGCGGGAGGGCAGGGAGAGCATGCAGGACTGGGCCCACGGGCCCCCTGGGTCTTGAGAAAGGAGCTGCCCAGCAAGGGTGTTACTCTATTGTTATACCAAACAGGGCACTGGAGCAAACGCTTGTTAAAATGCCAGTCCCGTGGGCGGGGCTGGCACCGTGCCCCCTCCCTCCTCAGCAGACTCCGGAGCCGGCCTACCCCACCTCTCCAGCGTTCCCACCACTCTCTTGTCCGTTTGCTTCCAGGGTCGTGTATCAGGATGGATTTTATGGTGCTGAGATTTATGTAAGTGCGCCCTGTGGAGGGGAGGGCGGGGCCAGCCCTTCTGTCTGTCTGCTTCTCACAGCCCCCTTCCCATCCCTGGGATCAGGGACAAGGGTGCCAGGCTGCAGAGAATGGCATCCCTGGGGACCCCAGCCTAGCCCAGTCTGAGTTTGTCTTGCTCATCAAGACAGGTACTTATGGATCTGCAGCAGCCCTACAAGCTGAAGGCAGCTTGTCCACTTGGCAAGGCACTGCATGATGGCAGCAGTGGGAGGCTCTCCCTGACCCCTAATGAACAAATGAACAAATGATTGAATGAATGAATGTCCCTACCTCCTCTCAACCCATACCACTTGGCAGTCTTCAGACATCTCTTAGACCAGAAGCCAGGTGCCTGGCTCAGGCACCATCTAAACTTCCCCAGGCTGAAGTGAAGTGGGAAGGCGGAGGGTCTGGGAAGGTCCACAGCCCCTCCAAAGATCCCAGCCCTGCAGTCTGTGTCTGCCCCAGATCCCTGGATGAGCCCCACTAAGTCCATCTGCCATCTCTTCCTCCCACCTACCCTGCAGGGAGGCTATGCAGCCTACAGATACACTCAGCCAGCAGCGGCGGCGGCAGCAGCCTACAGCGACAGGTAAGACTGCGGGCAGCAAGCTGTTCTGGGAGAAGACAGTCCAGGGTCCCCCAAGGGCTGGGTGTAGACAGACAGGAAGCCTTACCCTCTAATCAGGGCCTGGTGGTACCTGTGCCTGGTGGGTGCAGGTTCTGGACAAGAAAAGTTTCAGGTGTGGCCAGGGAGCCCCTGACTTCAGTCACTTCCTGCTTGCAAGATTGACAAGGCCAGGGGAGCAGAGAACATCTCTGACCCCCAACCCTGAGGTCTGATGCCCCAGCTCTCAAGTCCCCATGTGAGAAGGCTAATGAGGAGCCTCCCATGGGATGGGATGAGACCAGGGCAGGCATTGTGTGCCATCTCTGAGCAGGCCTAGGTAAAAGGCCCTGGATGCCTTGCTTCGGTTGGGGTGTGCCCCCCATGGGGTGGCTGAGCCTAGCACCTTTCCCTAAGTTGCTTGGCCTGGTGGCCCCAGAGTTCCTGCCTAGGCCCTGCAGTGGCAGTTCATCCAGATGGCTGTGCCTCTTGTCCACGTGTCCATCTGGCCTGGACCCCCAGTAGCAGTAGACCCCCCTTGGGTCTGTACTCTCCCTGTGGCCTCTTGCTCAGTCTCACCAGATGTGCATGGCACACAAGCCCCAGGGCCCAACCCTGTCCTCTAAGAAGCTGATGTGTCACTGCACAAATGAATTGAGTGAGAGGAAGGTCATCTGGGGACACCGTGCCACCTCTTTGGTGGTGACATTCCTGGCCCCTATATCTTGGGTCTTTTTCAACCCATGTCCCTCTTCTTTCTGAGCATGGAGTCTTATTTCCCACCAGACCCCTTTCACTAAGGACCCCTTTCCTTCCAGCAGCACTGAGTAGGACATGTGGTCCATTGTCAGTGTCTGCACACATTGGATGCAATGAAAGAATGGCCCTCAGGGTCCCAGGAACTTTCTTCCAGACAGGAAGGGAGGATGGACTGTGAAGAGGGCCTCATGGGAGAGAAAGGGGCTTTGTGGCTGGGACCATAGGAAGGGGGCCTGGAAGGAGGCAAGAGACCTAAGAGCCCTATAGCCCCCTCCCTCACCTGCCCCCACCACACACTGTCCCTGTCCTGCTCTTCCCCTAGTTACGGCAGAGTCTATGCAGCTGCTGACCCCTACCATCACACCATTGGCCCTGCAGCGACCTATAGCATTGGAACCATGGTAAGGAGGCTGGGCCCACCTGCCCCTGGGTGTCAGTAAAGCTGAGGGGTGGGAGTGAGGGGCACATCACTATGGGTGGATGGGACAGGCCCTTAGGAGAGGCCAAGACCTCTAGCCAACACCTCCTTTGGTGACTCTTGAAGGACTGCAGCCTGGGGCTTGAGCTTGAGTTGGCGGGGAAGGGGTGAGAGTTTGCCCCTTCCTGCCCTCTGTCATTGAGGGGAGGCAAGTCTGACAGGATGGCCAGCCCCCTCTTTGATATCTGGTCCTCTGAGAAGCACCCTAGTGGGACATGTTTTCCTGAGCCCCATAACTGCAGCCTTGATAAGGCCCCACATCCTCCCCAGCAGAGGCTCTAAGGGTCATGGTTCCAGCCTCAGCCTCCCCTGTGTGGTGTGTAGAGGCCAAGCCCCACACTGGCCATGTCTCACATGGGGAGGCCGCCCACTGTTTCTCACCAAGTTCCTCTTCCAGACTCCTCTAGGGCTTAGGGGCTCCCCAGTGGTCTTGGTGGGGCGGGGGTGCACTCTACTCCAGGAGGTGTGCAGGCCAGCATGTCTGTGTATGTGTGTGTGTGTGTGTTTGGCCAGCTGTGGACACATATAGCCCCACCCACCCTGCACCCTGGTTCTGTTCCAGCCCACACCCCCCTCTCGTGCCCACCCAACCCAGAGGTGTTAGTATCTGTTTTTAGCTAGCTTGACATCCAGCATCAAAGATGAAAACACTCTGTGGGGAGTCAGGCGGGAGGAGGTTCAGAGGCAACGTGGATTTTTTTTCCACCTCCCTTGGTCTTGATTATTCCCTCCCAATTTGTATCTTGTCTTTTTGGATTTTTGTGCAAGCCTCAGACACCCCAAGCAGTCAATGAGGGATGGGAGCAGCCATGGAGTGCAGGCTCCTTGGGGCCACGGTAGCCCTCCCAGCAGAGGCCACAACACCATGGTTTGCAGGCCTGGAGCCCCTGGGACCGCCTGGCCCTCGGCACAGCTGCTAGCTAAATGCTTTCATTAATTCACAAGGGTTCTCTCAGGTTTTCCTTTATTTTTAAGATTTTCTGGTTTTTTTAAGATTTTCTCCCAACTTTTCTCCTCTGATATTTGCCATTTGCTTCCTTTTTCTGGCAAAACTGGTGGGTAGGTGGGCAGCTCCTATCCGGGGCCACCTAGGGGCACGAAAGGGCAGGACACAGAGCCAAACCAGGAAGCCCCCAGAGACAGGCAAGCCCCAGGTGCTCCTAGAGACAAAGCCTCTCAGGGCTGTGCCCAATAAGTACGTCCCTGAGGGTGGAGCTGGCTCCGGTGGCCCACACAGGCATACTGCATGGCGCAAGGAGGTAGGGCTTATGCTAGGATCTCCAGGCACCTGGGGACAAACACAGCATGATGGACTAGCCCAGAGAAGTGGCCCCAAGGCTGCTCAGAGAGTCTGGAGCACTCCTCTTGGCCAAGACCACAGCCACATAGGAACAAGGCTCCACCCCCCCATTGCCATAACAATCCAATATCCACTTTTCCCAAGGAAAACTATAAGGGCAAAAGAGAATGGGATTTAGCTATTTCTTTTTGTTTTTCCTTACCTTTTTTTTCTTTTGGCCTTTTCCCCCCACCAAAAGATGGTACTGATTGGCTGTTTTTCATCTTTGATGTTGCAGGCTAGCCTCTGCCGAGGAGGGTACAGCCGCTTCACCCCCTACTAGCAAGAGACCCGCCCCTAACAGCATTCACACTACTGCCTATTCCAAACCAAACCCTACAGCCCCAACACCAGGCACAGCCACCAGGAGGACAGTGCACCCCTCCCGGTCAGCGACATGCACCGCTGACCCTCTGCGACTCTAAAATCCATAGATTTTTATTTCCAGCCAGCTGGTCTCCCCACCCCACCCATGATGGTGTGTGTGTCTTTGACCCTGGTTTTTCCTGTATGTCTGAACCGTGGTTTCCTATCTTGACTTTGTTGATGTTGTACTACTCGAACCATTTCAGGTACAGTATGAACAGAACGGGGGCCAGGCTGGGGAGGACAAGCATTAGCACCCTAGCAGGATGACACACCTGTCTCCTGGTGGCCCCAGCTGCACACAACTCTAGAAACACTGGCCAGGCTTCCCTACATGGCCTGGTGCCCCTAGTGTTCAGTGATGCAGTGGGTGAGGGGCTCAGGCCCTCTGGCCAGTGGGTTTCCCCAGCCCCAATGGGGCACCTGTCCACCTATATCTAATAATCACAGAAATAGCCGCCTCCATGGTCCTACCCCGTTCCACTGAAGTTAATATTTTAATTAAATTTTATTGATGTTTCTTGCCAAAGTACTCACAGGCACATTGTTCAGTGTGCAAACCACTATGGTCACACCAGTCCTGGGGACTCCCTAGTGCTGTTGCAAGAAGTGGATATGAGGAAAGAAATTGCCAAAGAAATACTCACAGCCACCCCACCCTGCCCAGCACAGAGGTCTTCCCTGTACTCACCACCTGCACCGGGCACCTGCACCTGGCAGAGCCTGGGCCCCAGGGTCCCTGGACCTTAGATGGGACTTCAGCACTGAAGTGGGGCTGAAGCACCGCCAGCCTGTCCCCAGGCACTAACACGCTTCTTTATCAGGGTCCATTTCAAAAGGGAGGAGCCCCTGCCAACATGGTGATACTACCCACAGCCACTCCAGCCTCAGTGAGACTGTGTGCCCAGGGGACACATGCAGACACCTGCATAGAGCCCCGGAGGGGATGCAGGCTGGGACTTCAAGTCAGGCCTAGAGCCCAGGGAGCTGGGCAAGTGCACAGAAACAGGGGGGGTCTAGTGTACTAGCCCTGGGGGACACAGGTCTATACATGCCAGAGGGGATGCAGCCATGGCCTCTGGACGCCAAGGCCGACAGAGGTGTGAGGCCCTGGTGTGGAGGGGTGTCCTATTTCTTCTCCCATTGCCTCTCTCCATCATGCTCTGCCTCCTGCCTCACTCCTTGCTGTAGCCAGGCCTGGGATCATTTGCCCCATCAGAGCTACAGGTGGTTCCTGCTAGCCAGATCCTTGCTGGTTCTGGACCCTACAACCCTGTCCTAAGCCCCTGCAGTGCACCCCGCCCCCACTGTGCCCTGCTGTATCCCTACCCGGCCAGGAGGCATGTCTGCTTTAGGTTCAGCTTGCAGGGGAGAGGAGGTCCCCAAAACTAAGGTCAGATTTAGGGGGTGCTGGGACTAGAAGCTGGGCCCAGGCCATGGGTCATGTGGCCCGCATGCCCAAGGCTGCTCCAGAGAAACTGCAAGTCCTGCCTTTCTGTTTCTGTTGTAGTGAAACCTTCCACCGTTTCCTTCTTGGACCATGAAGGGCAAAAAACAAAAAAACAAAAAAAATCACAAAACAAAAAACAAAACAAAAAAAGATGTTAAGATCCAAGCAACAAAAAAACCAACCAAACCAAGAGGCATCCAACCAAGTCCAAGTCCGCGTCTGGCGCACACCCGCACCGAGGGAGCACGTCCCGCCGGGCGCGTGGAAAGCGGCCCTGCCCGGCTGGCCGCGCAGTAGGAGAGTTGGAGGGAAGGGGCCTGGATGTGTGGCCAGCAGGGGCTCCATTTTCTATCCAGTCTTCCTTTCAGGCCCCTGTGACCCCAGCAGTGGGGTGCAGAGGTGGAACAGGCCTGGCCTCGGGGAGGAGCAACCAGGGTAGGCGGGCTGTGCCTGGAAGGGCTGGGGGCGAGGAGGGGCATCGACCCCCTTGGGCTATGCAGTGCCCCCTGTGCCCTTGGCTGTCTGTCCAAGCAGCTGCCCTGGGGTCCAACTCCAATGCAAAGGGCTGACGTGGCTCCAGAACTAGGGGGTGCCTCTGCCCTGTTCCCCTCAAGTAAGAAGGTACCCAGCTGCAGAGCACAGCAAAAGAGGCTCGGCTGGCCAGGAGCCACTCCAAGTGATGTGAGTGTGGACAGGGGCCCTGAAGCAGAGGACTTGCACTTAGTGGCCATCTCTCCCTTCCTGGAGGAGGCCGACCTCATGCTACCTGCTAGGACCTGGCCTGCCTTACGCCTTCCCTGCTGGGAAGGAGAGGAACAAGGGATGGCCAGCTTGACTCCACTTCCACGGTGGAAGTCATAGCGGCATTACGGGCCTGGGCAGTGCCAGCCAGAACAGATCTGCAAGAAGAACGAGGGTTGGGGAGGCCTGAGCTGGCCCTGCCACAGGGAGACCAGCTGGGCCGCGGCCTGGCCCCGCGGCCTGGGCGGGTGTGGAAGTGGTGGGGGTCAAGGGCAACACAGGCCCCAGGTGGGCGGCCGGGCAGTAGAAGGAGTAGATGGCAGGTGGCAGGGAAGAGCTCCTGGCGAGGCAGGGATCGCTGGAGTAGGAAAGCAGCAAAAAATTACAAAAACATGGGCTCCCAACGTGGCTCCACTGTCTCATGAAACTTCAAAAATAAAAACTACACCTCACTTTCTATTCAGCATCAGCTACTGACGCTCTGGAAACGAATCCTCCTTTTCTATTCCTGTTGTACATAGCCCCACGCCTGCCTCCGGCTCTGTCCTCTGCAGGGCCCTGTGCCCTCTGCTGTTTCGGACCCTTTTCTTGCAGCAGCTCGGACCCCCCTCGCCCCGGGCCCCCACCCCCCCAGGACTGCAGCCGAGCCCCAGGCTTCCTTTCTTACCATTCTGTATGCTTCCAAGGTGTGACCATTCAAATTAACAGTATTATTATTATTAAGATTATTAATAAAGATTTCTTTCTTCAAACCAGGACAGCTCTTTCTGATTTGGCAGCTCCAGGCACCAAGGGTGGAGGGCACGAGACGAGGTGTGTGGCCTGGTCTGGGACCACCGGGTGGCTCTGGGGAAGAGGAAGACTCTCTGGACAAGACTTTAAAGTCTCACCCCTCCTGACTGGCTGGACGGACGGACGGACGCCTCTGCCAAGTGACAGCTGAATGCATTACCTCTCCAGGGCAGGATGCACCCCAAAAGGCTGGAAAACCCCACAGCTGGGGTGGTCACCCAAGTGTAGGATGGCAGGGAGGTGGGGGCTGCTGCAGAGGCGTCTGCCGCTGGAGCTCGATGGTGCTTAGGAAGCCCTTGGTCTCCTGGCTGGCTGGCCAGATCAGCAGCTGCGCTGCTTCAAGGTAAATGCACTTTTCAGGCCCCCTCCTAGGGGTGGGAGGGTGGACGGAGGAGGGTACAGCCTGAAAACACCCAAAGAGCTTAAGAGCTGGGCTGGGGCAGGGAGCCAGATCTCACCCAGACTAGAGTTCTCATTTTTCACCACGTCAGATAATTTATTTCAGAGCGATTACACCCACCAGAGGGGCACCGCTTAAATGCCGGCAGATTAATTTTCCTGCACAGGAGCCTGTGCTGTGGGGCCTGGAGGCCGCGCTCTGGGGGAGTGGCGTTGTGTGGTTCTGCCGAGCGCCACGCTCCACTAAGCCCCCTTATTTCTAATTGCTTGCTCACCAGACTGTGAGGAAATAATTGCCACTATAAATTTTCCTTCCTTCTCTACATAAAATATTCGGAGGAACTGTTAAAAAAAAGACCTCAGGAAATGAGGGAAGCAGGCATTAGTGGTGCGCTGCCCCGTATCAAGGCACAAGATAGGTAGTCTGGCCTGCTGTACCCTACTGCCCAGGATGAACCTCTTCTGGGGACGCACGGCGCAAGGCCAGAAGGCAGCCCCCAGCCAGTTCCCCCGTTTCCCAATGGAAGGAGGCTTAGGTGCTCAGGGAATTGTCAATGCAGGAAACCACCATGGAGAAAGCAAGTGAGGAGCTAAAGCAGCAGTGGTAGCCCCTACCCCCTCAGGCCTGCTGAATGGCTACAGGGCCTTGGGAAGAGCCCAGGGCCTGGTGACCTCAGCTTTGGAGCAGTCAGCAGAGTCATGGCCCTGCCTTGGATGCTGGATCCTCATCTGTCTATGTAAGATGTGAGTGTTTCCAGTCAGGAAGGAGCTCAGAACCCAGCCCCAGGCTTCTGCCCTGTTCTACTGTGCTCAAGAGGAGAGGCCCTGGGAAAGCAGGGAGGTGGGAGTAGACAGAGCTCAGCCCCTGCAGGAGACCTTTGCCCTCCAGGCCTCAGTGCGCTGAGCAGGACCCAGCCCATCCATCTCCTCACGTCTCCAAGGACAGAAATGGTTGCTGCAGTCCTGCCTTACCACAGGGTAAAATCCATGGACCTGGCCCGTGTGTGTGACCCTATGGAGTCACAGTATTCTGAACCTCAGCACCATACCTAAAGCACAGGAAAAGGGCAGGAGGACTGCCAGGTACACCCCACCAAGGGGCCAATGTGGCCAGGGTCAAACATCCCTGAGAACCTCCGACCCTGTGCAGGATTGTAACGGACCCTATATGGCACCTGAAGGGGAAGCAGGGAAAACACAGCGTTACCCACGGCACAGAGACACCGGGGGAAGCTTCCCCGCCCAGCACTGTCAGGGGAAGGAGGCTGCAAGAGAGGCAGCTTTGCTGTGAGCCCAAGGCTGGAGGAGCTGCAACAGAAGTGAAGGGACTTGGCTATGGGGACATTTACTTGTCAGAGCCAGCAAACCCCCAAGGTGGTCCAGACCATGATGGCCCACGGTGCTCAGAAGCAGTGTGATGCGGTGCCAGTCTGGCCCTGAGCTCCAGCGCACCATCTCCCACTCTGGGGCCCCTCCTTTCTGCTGCTACCCTCAAGGCCACTGCATCCCAGTCCTCTGATCCAAAGGATCGGGCCTGCTCCAAAGCCTTCCTGCCATAGTTTACCAGTTTACAATTCATTTCTAATTGTGTGATCTGCAGGAATAAATGGTCACTGCTCTCAGCATCAACACCTTTCAACCTATTTGAAAATATCCTTTATGGAGTTTTCTGGACAAAACCCCCCACATCCTTTCCATTTCCCCTCAGAACCATACATTGTAGAGAGGGTTACACACAAACACAAGGCCCGTGTGCCCACTTTGGGACCATCATTCAGCAAACTGCCTTCATCCTGCGGGCCCAGCCTCTTAACACCTGGCCCTACCTAGCAGGGTCCCAGCGAAACCCAGGACAGCCAGCCAAGGGCAGGGAGAGTCTCAAGGGAGGAGGTGTTGGCTCACGGAGGCATGGAGTAGAGAAGGGCTGCCCTGCCCCACTCGGCCTGAGGGACGCGAAAGCCCTCCCTGGGGACGGGCTCCACGAGGAACTCCACACGGGCCTCCTGGCCGGGCCCAGCAGCCTCTACCACCAAGTCCACCACACGGTACTGGTTGACAAAAGCCAGACCCAGGAATGTGGGCTTCTCTGGCCCCAGCGGCTCCCTGCCTGGAGAGCTGCCTCTTGTCTGCTCCCAGCAGTGGACTCTGAAACAGCGGACTTGGAGGAGGAGGTAGGACCAGTGCAGGGTACAGCTGAGCCTCAGCTGGCCCAAGAGCCCCTCCGACTCAGAGGCGGGCCGCTGCCAGCAGACTTGTGTGACAGTGACGTTCTGCACCTGGGGCAAGGGGGCCAGCAAGCTGTTGGCATCCACCACCTGGCAGCAGAAAAGGCTCAGACAGCTGATACCTGGGGAGGCTAAGGGCACCCCACCCTGCACCAGCACCCACCCCTCTGCTCCCTCCAGCAGGAGGTATCACCCTTCCTGGATGCACACCTGGATCTCTCCCAGGCGACAAATGAAGCGCTGTTCCTCCTGACTGCCTGGGGGCCGTGACAAGTTCACAAAGAGGTCCCGCAGGAGGCACCCACGCAGGTTCACCTCGTAGCACCTGGGAAAGGCACACGGCTGGTCACAGGCTGGCTCAGTACAGTGGCACCAAGGCCAGAGGTCCCCAGCCACAGCAGAAGGGAGAATTATCCCAGTGTATGCCAGGTTGGGGAACCCTAGGCCCCACAGGGACCTTGAGGGCTCCCAGGAAGTGTCCCGGGCTTACAGTGCTGCCCCAAATCTGGACTGTCAGCCCAGAGCATCTCCATTCTTCCAGTCCTGGAGCGTCTCAGCAGGGGACACTGCCTCAAGGACCCCCATGTGTGGCTGCTCCCTCCTGGGCTTGGCAGAAAGTAGAGGGACTCACCGCTGGATCCAGCCCCCACTGAGCTGCTGGCCGCAGCGGCCCACCCATCTGGCCAGTTTGGTGGGCGGCACCCGGAGGGGTCGGGGTCTGTGCCTTGAACCTGTTTCCGCTAGAGGGGGAGACATGGGTTTAAGGAAAGAGGTTTCAAAGAAAAATGTGCGCCCAGGGGCAGGAGGGCTGTGGGATATGTCCTCAGTAGAAAAGACCTGGGGCCCAGACCAGACCCTGAAGCAGAGGCTGTGGGACCACCAGAAAAGGCTTGGAGAAGAATAAAAGAGACCCATGTCGGGCTTGGCCAGGCTCACTCACCCTGGCTCTTCCCAAATTGCTATCTTCCCTCCCCACTGGTCACCAGCAGAAGGTCCATATCCCACCCGCCCTGGAGGCTGCTGATGGCCAACAGGGCCAGAGGACAGAGGTTCCGGCTCTGAAGTAAGTTCCCGTGTCCTGGCCTGGACCACAGGATGCTGCAGCTCCCACCAGTTAGAGGTGATGCCTCCTTTGCAGTGTACCCCACAGGATGTACCCAACACCAGCACCACCCCCACCTGCACCTTTCTAGACTTCCCTTCCTGGAGATCCTCCCACAGTGAGATCCTCACCATTCAGCACCGAGATACTGCCAATGTGACAGCTGCCAGAGTCCCCAGTAGTGAGCTCCAAGGCAACTGTGACGTCCGTGGACCCTTCAAGCTTATACACCAAGGACAGGAAGATTTTGTGTGGTGCTGGAACCTGCAGGGAAAACAATCTGGGGGAGAAAGACCCTGTGAGAGGCCAGGGAGGGACTGGGCAGAGACACTGGCACTTGCTCCAAGTCTCACAGCTCAGCCTCACTCGCCAGGGACGAGGAGCCAAAGGGCAAAAGCTCCAGACTGGCCCAGCCACCCAGGTGCCAGATTCTCCTGCAGGCTGGAGGTGTGCTTCTGACACCTCATGATGCCACTGGCTGGCTGGGGCAGTCACACTCAGAGGCAGAAAGAAGGGCGCTTCCAAGACTGGGCATGGGGGTATGGCTCAGGGCTGGTTTTAGTTTTGAAAATGACAAAGCCCTAGAGATCTCCTGCATGACACTGCACACAGCTGTCAGGCTACTTCAGAACCGTCAGAACGGTTCTGGTAGTTTCACATTATGTTTTTCTACCACTTTTTTTTTAAAAAAAAACATCTGGGTTCTGTCTTCTGTCCTCTACTGCCCTACTGCCCTGGTTTGTGACTGACCTGGAGGGAGATGCTACCCGCCTCATCACTCACCCACCTCACAGCCACACTGCCAACCTCAGGTGGGATCAACCCCTGCAGAAGCAGCGAGCTGCCCCCATGCCAGGAGTCTGCCAGGCAGCAGTGCACCTTCACCCAGCCCCGGCCATCACCAGGCAGCTTGTGTTCACCAAACAGGGGCTGTGTTTCCTGGGCACTCGGGTGGTACCAAGGCCCGACAGCCTGCTCCTGAAGGAGAAGGCAGGACCAGACAGTTAGGGGTGAGGCCTCCTTTGCAGTGGCAAACAGAACAGGTGAGGAACAGGGACAGGAAAGGCCACCATCCCTCCTGCTCGCATCCCGTAGCTCCCTCCCACCTAGCCCAGCTAAGGGCAGGTGATGGACATAGAGGAAGAGCCCCTCCCCCACCCTCTGCACATGGCACAGTGGTTCACACACCTGTCCATAGCAGACCCTTCGTGTCCCCAGGCCCAGGCAGAAGGATGTGACGAAGGGCAGGGAGCAGATGCTGTGTGTGGGCAGGTAGCGTTCCAGCAGATTCCAGAACCTGCCAGAGACAGAGAGAGGCCACAGCTCAGACAAGAGTAAAGTAGCCTTTCAACATCCTCACACCCACGGCTGTAACTGGAGCTTCTCCTGCACCCCTCGAGACAGAACTTCCTGCCATATAGGAGCTCCCCAAACTGCTCCCTCCTGCCCAGCTGGGCTCTGGGAGGCACCACAAAGCAGCTGAGGTAGCCCAGGAGTCCCCTCATCCTCATAGCCACCCACACACAGCAGGACTTACTTATCCTGGTTCTGGAAGAAGTTGTTCTTTTCCAGACACTCATACACCCAGCCAGGGGCAAACAGAGCCACAGAGAAGCCGTGCTTGCGGATCAGTTCCAGCGACTGGGGGACAGAAGTCAGAGAGATGCTGGCATCAGCCATGCTGGCACCTCAGAGTCCAGGCAGGCCCCCTGGACAGCACATGACCAGGTCATAGGAGCCAGGCCTCTCAGATCAGCAAGGCTGATGCAGCTGTCCACACCCATCCAGTCTCCACTGGGCTTTATCCCCATCATTCTGCAAACCAGCCAGGGGTAAGTGCTAGAGAGGCAGCAAGAGAAAGGCCGGAGGGCACAGGTCTGGGGGCACTGTGCACAGTGCTGGCTCCCCTCCTCCTCACTCCCTCGCTCATGCTATTGAGTTTATTTACTCATTTAAAGTTTGGCCAGGCATGATGCTACATACCTATAATCCCAGCACTCTGGGAGGCTGAGGCAGAAGGATCTCAAATTCAAGCCCAGCCTGGACAAATCAGTGACCCTGCGAGACTCTGTCTCAAAAAGGGAGGGGGTACTGGTGCTGGGAATGTAGCTCTGTGCCAAGGCCCCAGGTTTGATCTCCAATATGAAAAAATTTATGTATTAAAAAAAAACCTTAGTGTTTTACTAAATGCACCCCCGCTGCCCAGAAAGAGGCCGCACTGACAGGCAGGAGACGGGGACCTGCTCTTCCCAGGCAGGTGTGTTGCCGGTGCCACCTGCCTCATCCAGAAACCTCATTTGTCACTAAGGAGCAGGTCTCCAGCTGTGGCACTCCACCTCTGTCTCTGGCCCCAAGCCTGCCATGAAGGGCACTGCAGCCCCACCTGCAGCCTTGGTGTCTACCTGCTGGGGCAGTAGGTAAGCTTAAGTCTCTTCAAAGCCCACAGTACAGAAAGGAAGCCACGGTAAGCAACAGATGAGAACAGCATGGGAACAGGACACTTCTGTCCACCAACACAGAGATAAAAACATTCATTTATAGCCATACTTGGTGGTGCATACCTGTAATCTCAGAACTCTGGGAGGCTCAGGCAGAAAGATTGCAAGTTCAAACTCAGCCTGACTTAGTGAGACCTTCACTCACTAAGTGAGTGAGACCTTCTCTCAAAAAAAAAGTAAAAAGAACTGGGGATGAAGCTCAGAAAAAGACCTTTCATGGGATCAGTTTGGTCACCAACGTCCCGCAATGCCTCAGTTTCCCCACTGTGGGAAGAACATCTGCCACCATTCTTTCCCTTGAGGCACAGAGGAAAAGAGAACATCCCCAAGAACAGAAGGCCAGGGAGGGGACACAGGCCACCAGCCCTCTGGCACTAAGGGCACACTCACCTTGTCAGTGTCAAATCGGCCTCCAACTACATTTCCACGGGCGAATACGTCCACACCCACATACACATCAACCAGGCGCTCGCCAGCCTGCCCCAGCATCCGCTCCAGGTGCTCCTCCCGCCAGTTATAGTTGGTGAAGAAGCCATCACAGGACTCGAAGAAGATCCTGAGAGGTGACGGGGCTGTTGAGGCCTGGGCGTGGCACAATGGGGAGCCCATCCCGCAGTCAAGGATCTCACTGCTCACGGCCCCTCACTGCTCACAACAGCAGTGGCCCTGGGCTAGAGTTTGCTCCCAGGGGCAGGGACCAGCCGTAAGTAGTCATCCACAGCCTCAGAATCCCACCAAGGAGACCAGGCACTGATCAGGCCTGCTGACCATCAAAACGGTAGAGGGCGCTGGGCCCCTCTTTCTACCTGAAGCAGGATACCCAAGGAGACAGGCCAGCACCTCTCCTAGTCCCTACCCGGGGCTCACCGGTTACGTTCATTGAGTTCATCCTGCCACTTGAGCTCTCCGCTCTGTGTCACACTATCATACCAGAGCACCAGTCCCCCCGGGACTTGCTGGTGGAGCTGAGCAGTCAGATATCGCAGGAAAGCGGGCATGTTCCGTACAGCTGCCACCTGGGAGAGAGAATGCAGATCAGACCTCTGGCGAGGTGAGGCCTATCTGTAATGAGAAGCACCCAGCACAGGACACCCAGGAGCACACAGAGACCCTGATCCCCAGTGCCCCTCACCCTACAGCCCCCAGACGTATAACTTGCCTCTGTGTTGGACAAGAACTCAGAAAAACATAGAATGCAATGGAAGGGCAGGGTGACCGTGGAGAGGAAGCAGAGATGCAGAAGAGGAAAGGCGTGGTTATGCTGAAGCAGCAGTGAAGCAGAAGCAGAGCACAGCCAAGCAAGCTCCAGAAACAGTGGGGAAGACTCGCCTCACTGCCAGGCCACCTGGAAGGGCACAGGTGGCTCTGTGTGGGAGCCAGCAGTAGTTGTGCTGCTGTGAGCTGGGCCAAGGAACACGCAGAGGACAGGCAAAGCAAGGGCTGGGGGAGGGCAGGCACCAGCACGCAGGCCACACTCACACTCAAAGAGTTCTCTATGTTGATCAGCCAGCCATCAAAACGAAAAAACTGGGCAATCTGGACCAGCTGATTGGCCACTGTCTGGTAGGAGCGTGAGTCCCCAGCCAGGAAGGCATCACAGTGCTTCGCCCCATCACTCCACTCCGTGATGAACGTCCCTGTGAGACAGCGGGGCCTGAGGTCAGCGTATGGCTTGGTCTGCCTCCGACCCAGGGGTCCACAAAGTGTAGTCTCTGGATGGGCAGCATCAGTGCTACCACAAAGCTTGTTACACATTCAGACCCTTGCCCTGTCCCCCAGACATCTGGTGACTCAGACACTCTGGCTGGGGCCCAGTCGTGGGTCACAGAGGCCCATAAATGGTCTGGACTCAGGCCAGACCTGGAGGCAGGGCTTCTGACCCAGGTCAGCAGACCCAGGGCCTCAGGTCACCAAATCCAGCCGCGTGCATGTGCGAGTGACGCTTTACTGGAACACACCATCTCACCTTCACTGACCTGTTAACCATGGGTGCTTTCCTGCTAGTCATTATCATAGAGGCCATGGCACATGACACTGAAAAATATCTGCTATCTGGTCCTCTCTGGGAAAGTGCATGGCCCCCGAGATGGGATTCCTACTCACTAAGAGGCCAAGTCCCTACTAACGACCCTGGCTCTTACCCAGCACACAGACCCCATGCCTGTGGGCAGCATTGGTCCAGCCCACCGGGGGGATGGTGACCATGTGGTGGCTAAAGTACACGAAGATGTCGATGTACTGCCAGTGGTAGAAGGAGTAGGGGTTCTGCACCGCTGAGCCCTGAATAAACCTGGGTGGGGAAACAGAACAAGGTCAGGGCCCAGGAGACAGAAGAAGGACACGGTGACTGCGGGGTACAGAGGAACCCTGAGGAGGGTCCTCTTTGTTCTGTTCAGTGGACTCTAACCATGAGCCTGCTGTGCGCAGGCCCTGCACAGGAACACAAACTACGCCTCTCGTTCTACAGCAGTCAGGAGGGAACGACTTTTACCACAGCAGCAGACATTTGTGCTACATCCGCATGCACTGAGCATTGCTAGGAGGAGGAAACAGGCAGGCTCACGTGCCAGCCCCAGGTCTCTGGCTTGTGCTTTGCAGTGGTGGACTTGTACTTGTGCTGGCTTGTGCTTTGCCCAGCAGTGGGCCTGACGCAGCCTCAGATACAGTCTCCTTTGTCAGGTCAGCTCATCCCCAGCCTGAGCCTCAACAGCCAGCTCTTACTCAGCCTTCCTGTCAGTCACCACATCCAAGATTGTTTTACGGACATTTAAGACCCAGGAGGCTCACAAGTTCAAAACCAGCATGGGCAACTTAGCAAGACTCTGGCTCAAAACAAAAGATGAAAAAGAGCTGGGGATGCAGGTGAATGCAAAGGTCCTGAGTCCAACCCCCCGTACTGCCTAAAAAACAAAATGCCATTTTGGAGGGAATGTGCAGAGCTGGGCGAGGGAAGGGAGTCTAATCAACTGTAAACCAGAGCCAGGGCCAACCTACCAGACATCAAGCTCCATGACCCTGGAGCTGAGGTGAAGACCACCCAGGCCAGAGCTCTCCTCATGGGTGCAGCCAAACGAAGGCCTGAGTCTCTCTCCCAGACAGTGGCATGGCCCAGCCAAGAATCCAGATTCCTGATTTCCACCCAGAGCTTTCCACCACCCAGCACTCTCCTGTCTCCTCCCCATTCTCCCCAAGGATGGCCAGCAATAAGTTCAACGTCCGATGCATCCTCACCTGTCTTCCAGGTAGCCGCCCATCATGTCATGGCACAGCAGGGTCCGAGGCCTGCGGCTGCTCAGTGGGGGCTGGCGACACTCTAAGGGCTGCAACGCCACATTGAAACTGTCCTCCATGAGGGGCGTCCAGGCCAGCAGCTCCTCCAGTGAAGACAGGTAGAAGCTGATAGGCTTGGTGGTCTCCTTGTCATAATATCTAACTGGTCCAAGGAGGAAGATAGTGAGGAATTAGTAGAAGTTACAGGATTCATAGAAATGCTTTGATAATGACAGATAGAACTGGGAGTGGGTGGGGGAGTGCCCTGCACAGAACCCTGAGAGTAGATATGGAAATGTTATTCAGAGCCTCCATCTTCTCACCTGGCAAAGGATCTGGACTAAAATTGACCACTTCTCGAAAGACCGCTGCTGCTTCTTCTTCTTCTTGATCCTCTTTAGTTCTAAGCAAAGAGGGTTTTTAGAAAATTAAATAGGAATACAAAGCATGCTTGGAAGCAAATGGCTAGGGCCACCTAGACATGGACTACAGAAGCATGCATCTGAAATAGGCATGCAGGAACATGGGTCACTCCAGTGACCTGTGTTAGCAGCTGGCCTGGCTTCAGCCCTTCCAGCACTCTGACAGATAAACTCCTGCCCCAACATAGCCAAATTACATGCTTCAAACCAAAGACGCACACTTCAAAGCCCACACATTTTGCTCTGGCCAGGGGACAAGGACTAGTCAAAGCTCTTACAAAACGTAAGGTCCTAAAAGCAGGGGCCAGGCTTTCTCTCCAGTCCATGTTCCCCTATATGTAACCACAAAACACTAGCTCTTCAGTACTCATGGTGGGTAACAAGGGAAAAGAGTACCTTTAGTGCATTAAGCTGGGAAACCTTGAAGAAGTCTTAATTACATAGTGTTATTTGGAGGGCGGCAGCACTGAGGATTGAACCTGAGGCCTTCTCACTAAGCTCTATTCTCAGCCCTTTTTATTTTTATTTTTTTCTTTTTTCATTTTGAGACACAGTCTCTCCAAACTGTGGTCTCGAACTCTCAATCCTCCTGTCTCAGCCTTCCAAAGTGCTGGGATTACAGGCTTCTGCCACCACAGCTGGCTTTAAAAGAAATTATTTTAAAAACAGTGAGAAGACACTGCTGGGGCCACCTGGGGACCACAGGCATCAAAGCTGAAGGTCTCTACATTTTCCAGGCCCTCAGGCTGCTCTTTGCCCACTGGGTACCACCTGCCAGCCCTCCACATCCACACAGAGGCCTGCTGGCAGGGCTCCTCCACAGTGTCTGCCATCACCCAACGGTGACCCAGCACCTGGGACTGGGCACCCTAGAAATTGCAGGGTGGGTGGGAAGTAGGGCAGAGAGGAGTGGAGATGCCACAGAAATGCTCCTTTTCATTCTCCCACCCTCTTCTTCCTGAGCCTCCTTCCTAATTTCTTTACCTGTCTTTTCTCTGTCCCCTAAAAGATTTCTGGGACCAGTCCTGCCCACGCAGGTCCACCTGTGTCCTTGGTTCTTTCTCCAGGGCGTGGGAAAGGGCCATCTCAACATTCTTGCTACCCAAAACACCTGTCCCACAGGCCATCCCCCCATCAGTTGCTCATCATCAAGCAGTCCGCAGTGCCCACTGGTCTCACTGCTTTGGTTTAGAAACAAACCTAGTGCAGCCACTTTCCCCTGCAGCCTGCTGAAGCAAACGCTCCCAAAGGGGACGGGCTTGGGTCCAAGGTCCGGCCCTTTCGGCCTTTGTGCCTTCACCCATTCTGCTCCTCCTAGCTGGATGCCCACCCTCTTGTTCTCCACCTGCTCAAATCCTCCTCCCTACCGACTCAGGTCAGAGGTCACCCTCCGGAAAGCTGGCAAATGCCTTGCTGTGAGCTCGGGGATACGATGGCCACGGCGATCCGGGTCCTCGGGCTTGTGCCCAACTTCGGAGGAGGGAAGGGACCCTGTCTAACCTCAGGGGCGCGGCAGCTGGCTTGCACGTTGCCCGTGGGCGGGTTCCGGGCGGACAGGCGTGGGGAGTCAGATGCTGTCCCCACGTGGCTCGGAAAGGGAGCACCGGACGCTCTGTCCGGCTGCCGGCCAACCTCGGTCCAGGACGTGCCCACGGCCCTCGCCCCACGGCCTCACCTCCGCCCCGGCCGCCGCCGCCGCCGCCGCCCCCTCGGTCGCTGCCCCGGCTCCTCCTGCGCCTCCGGCTCCTTGGCCGCCAGTCCCAGCCGCCGCGCAGCCGAACGAGTCAGCACCCCTGCGGCCTCCATCGCCGCCCAGAGCCCGCGGCCTGCTCGGGCCACGGGTGACCGGCCCGGACAGCCAATCGCAGGCCCGGGCCCGACTCGCCGCCGCCCGCAGCCAATGGGGAGTGCGCGATGCGACCGCCCCGCTCCGATTGGGCTCCGGCTTGGGACTGGCAAACGGGCGGGGATTATGTAGCTAGAGCAGAGCTGGGGCGGGGCCGAAGAGGAGCCGGATTTATGGGCGGGGCTTACGTTGCCAGAGCGGAACTGGGGCGGGGCCTCGGCCCAGGACTCGGAAGATCCGGAGCTACCTGTTTTTAACTCTGTCCTCCGCAATCTCCGCTGTGGGACAAGTTGAGGTTCGTCTCGGAGAGGTGAAGTGATCTGACAGAAGCGTAAAAGTCAATACGTGGTAGAAATTAGATTTTTCACCCAGTCCTTCTAACGCCATTAAGATAATTCTCAGAAAATAGTAACATTTTTGTTCTCACATCAATGTAAATATCAACAAACGTTAAAGATTGTATTCTACTCGTTAATCAGAGACAAGTGTTTAACCAATGCAAAAAGGACTAAAAAAAGAGTCCCATCTATGGAAGGATCTGGAAAGTAATAGGTAAGTGGAGGTAGAGAAAGCTCCCCAGGACTGGACCAGGGAGGTCCCTGACATGAGGGATGGAATGGTCCACATCTCTCAAGCCCTTACATCTCACAGACAGCTGTGGACCGCGGAAGCCAGGAATCAGTTCGTGGCGCGGGCAGTTGTCCACTGACACAGTTCTTCCGGCATCTCCACGCCAAGTGTGCAGGGACATCTCCAGCGGGAGCTCAGAGGAACGTGGCCACTGTGTTCTGAGCTGTAAGGACATTGGGAGAAGGGCCTGCCCTGCGTTCCCCCGGGCCAGTGCCCTCTACAGCTGACAACTTCCTGGCTGGGCCACAATCCTGCCCCAAGCCAAGCCAACTGGCCTGTTTATTATCATTGCAAACTCTGAGCTTTATGAGGCCCCAAGCTTCCATAAATGTCCAGGGTGGGAACGATGACTAAGACGGTTGAATATTGGCTTTAGATCTGTAGCAGCCCAGCTGGTCAGGCAGGGACGATGGGAGCAGGAGGTGGTGACTCAGAGGAGGACAGAGTTGACAGGACACTGTCCCCCAACCCCAGGGGCTCTTTGTAGGACTTCAGGCCTGGAATAATTGCAGCGATAGGGTAACTGGGTCACCCTTCTCAGTCCCAGGTGCTCGATCTCAATTTGGTCTGTATTGAACTGAAAGTTTCCAAGGCCTCACCTGTACCTCAGTAATAAAAAGAAGTAAGTGATTTCTTATCTTCATCCTACCCAGGTTAAATGCAGTTCAAGGGATACTCTGAAGGCCTCTTGAGTAATGCTCAGTCCCTAGGGTGAAACATGCCAGATTTTACTTCTCCTCTATCTCCTCTGCTTCTTTCCAGAGAGCTGGCTTCTGGTCTTGGGGAGCAGAAAAAGGAAAGTCACCTGGCGTAGAGAACAGTGGGACTTGGTGATCTCTGCCTGGTTCCTGTGGCTCCTTATCTCCAGACCTAGCCTGGAGATCCCTGTATCTGCCTTGAGCCTTGCACTGGCTCCAGCTGGAGCTCCAGACTCCTCTGAGACCTGACTGAGCCCCTGCAACCCCAGGCTTGTAGGGTTTCCAGATAAAATACAGACCACCCAGTTATATTTGAATTCCAAATAAATGATGAATGGGGCTTATGCTGAAAACTTATTCCTTGTTTATCCAAAATTCAAACTGAACTAGGATCCTGTGTATTTATTTGGTAAATCTGGCAGTCCTTTCTGTGAATCCACACTACTCTGCCTGCCACAAAGCCAAGTCCTGGTGAACTCTCAACTGTCTTGGGTGCTGCCCACACTAGGGCAGGACACCAGGTGGTTTTGGACAGCTGAGCTTTGGTGTAATTGACCACATGGGTCCATATGCTTAGGGTGGTTTGCCTGCTACTGACCAAACCAAAGGAGGTCATTTATTCTTGGTGGGAAAAGTCCTTATTCAAAATGTGTGCCAAAGAAATGGAAGGATCTCATTGGCCCCTAATTTCCTATCTCCCCATGCCCAGGAGTGCAAAGGTCTTTTATAGCAAAGAACAGAGGCATACAGTGCGGTAATTTGTAGAGCACCAGGCTTGTTCCACCTCTCCTGGACCCCGAACCCTCTGAGATAGCATTTGCACATTTGTTTGTTTATCTAGACCAAGGCAAGGAGGGCACGGTGGTGATACTAGGCAGGAGGAAGTTTGCAGAAGCTGCTTATCTCGAAAAGAAAAGAAAAGAAAAGAAAGGAAAGGAAAAACAATGTTCAGAATTCTATTTTGCCTTGCTGGTTACATTTAGATCTGCTCTGCCTGAACAAGTGGGGCTACCAGCAACCTGGGCCACCAGCTTCGTGTTGCAGGTGACCTTATTACTGCCTGTCAGCCATGTCCAGAGTAGAAGAGCTGGTTTCTGCCTACTGCCTTTGCCCTACTTTGATCCCTCCCTCTCCCTCTCACCCTCTCACAATGCCCCAGGGGCCACAAGCAGGAGGCAGGTGAGCGGGCTTTGCCTATTCCCCAGGTATGGTTGCTGACACACCAATGAGTGTGGCAGGAACTGTTAATGATTCCCAACATCCCTCCCTCCCCCTGTTCCTGAATATAGAAGCCTCACATTTTAGGTGACTGTGTGGCTGTCATGCCAGCAGTCCATTAAATTTAGAGAAGTTAAAGTTCTGGTTTATGAGACAAGAAGGGAGGTAACGTGTACAATTCTGATTGTGTGTGCCAAAGAGGCATGCCTTCCACTCTTGTTGCCCAGTGTGTGTAAGGATGTGATGGTGAGGACTGTGGCAGCCATCTGAAACTGTTAGGTAGTATAGAAAAGAAGTAGAAAGGAGACAAGGAAAATTAAATGGGGCTCCGGTCCCTATGCTTTTCCCCTGGGAGTCACCCTCCCGGCCTACAGACCTCCATCCTCCAGGAAGCAGCAATATTATTGGGCAGCAGATCTCAACTTCAGAGGGATATGGTTTGTATTCTAACCTAGCTCACCAGATGGGTATCCCGACAATAGGAATGCACATCCTACATCACCTACTTGAGGTGACCGCATAAATAAACTCAGCTCCGGATCGCAGACCTCCTCCACATGGTAAAATAAAATGTAGAAATCTCAGCTTCTCACCCTGACAGCACAGACCTTTCTTAGACTCACTCACTGCTCTCCTGCAGTAGATCAATAACTTTCCTACAGCCCTCGCCTGTTGGTAAATCTTTTTATTGCCTGTGGCATCTGCCTCCCACACCACACCTTGCATGGCAGGGATTCCAGACATATGCCAGCACTCCCAGCCCACTAATTTCTTGGTATTTATTAAAGTATCTGAATCTAATCTAACTACACTGGGCATCAGAGGAGAGTAATGCAGATGTTCCTTGGCTCACAATGACATTTCTCCCTGAAAAACCTATTGTCAATTGAACAATTGGAAATTGGAAATTATTTAATAGCACCAACTTCAGAACATCACCGCTTACTCTAGCCTCCCTTGAAGGTGTTCTACGCACTTACACCAGCCTTCAGTGGGGCAAAACCATCCAACACGATGCCTAGCTTGTCATCGCCATGTATCTAATATAATTCGGTGAATTCTGTACTGAATGCAGAAAACAGAAGGTTGAGTAGATGTGCTTTCACACTAATGTAAAAAAGAAAATTTGTTAAATCAATCATAAGTCAGGGACCATCCATAGTTAAGGAAACTTCTCAACACACCAGTCTACCTTGCAAGGAATTTTTTTTCCAAAATCATATTACATTTTTCTTTCTTTTTGGGTTCCCTCTGTAGTAAATCCCACTTTCCTTTCATTCAAGTGTATGTCTTAGCGCAGCCAAGCAAAAGCAAAATCATATTAACAACTTTCAAACTGATGGATGTTGTGGCTCACACCTGTAATCCCAGCGCTCTGGGAATCTGAGGCAGGAGGATCAAAAGTTAAATACAGCTTGGACAACTTGGCAGCTTAGTGAGACCCCCTCTCAAAATGAAAAGTAGAAAGGGCTGGGGTTGTAGTTGATTGTAAAGGCCCTAGATTCAACCCCCATGTTGTGGCTTGTATCTAGATGTCGCCCCAAAGCCTCAGGCAATCATAGATGGAGTTTTTCAGAGGTGACTGGATCTAGAGTGTGTGATGCTGGGATCAAGGATGTGTGATTACTAAACTAGTCCATCAACTGACTTAGCATGGTTCTTGGAAGGATGAAGGGTGCCCCACACTAGGTATGTGTGCTCCTCACCTTAAAGTAGCTTGGATGAAAAAAAAGGGACAAAAAAAGGATTGTCACTGGTTGCTTGTTGCTGGCTGCCTTTTGCCTGCCCTGCTTGGCCATGGACTATTTCTCCTCTGCTGTGCCACCCTGCTTTGGAGCCAACCGTCTATGAACTAAAAGCTCTACAAACTGTGAGCCAAATAAACTTTTCCTCCTTTAACTTTGGGTGTTACGAATTTTGTCTCAGCAAGGAGAAAAGTAACTAAGACACCCCAGTACCAAAAGAAAAAAAGAAACAAACTTTGACAGTGTTGCTTTTGCTTAAAGAGTGCTCCTAGCATAAAAGACAGTTGAAGTTAGCTGATAAGTAGGCAGACAGTGAAGGACTCAGCTAGGTACAAAAAGACAGCACACAATCTGAGTTAAGAGCTCATTCAAACTATGTGGCTGGTTAAGCTTAAAAATGTCAGAGCAAACACAGGAAAAAGGATGAAAAGTTAGGACAGGATAGGCAGATAAGAACCCTTCTTCCCAGAAGGAGACTGGGTAGAATATGCTAAGTCAGTTGATAACCCCTCCCTGCTTCCGGGTTGGACTTCTAGAAACTTAAAAATGCAGAGTAACCAGTTTCCTTTAAACTGGACCGGCTGAGTAGCTGATTTTCTTTAGACTACATTACAAAGCCTAAACCCAAATTGGTTATTCTAAACCAACAGGTCACTGGACAATTGAAAAAAAAAAAAAGTTCCACTCTGCTCATCTATATAAGACCGAGACAAAGGAAGCACCCCTCCTGGAAACCCCCCAGGAGCTGTTTTCCTTCTTATAGTTCCAATAAACACTTTCCTTTAACCTACTTTCTGTCTATAATTTGTCTTGGGCTTTGTGAGACGACAGACCTGGTTATTACGGTGATAGCTGTTTTGCTAGGTGCTTGGCAAAGTTACATGAAGGAAGCACACAGAGGCTGTGCCTGCACCTGTTGCAGCCTCCGGCCCCTCGCCCCTCAATGCGATGCCTGCTGGGTCCCTCATGCCCACTCCTGCCCACACAGCTGCTCCCCATTCCCCGGGAAAGGACACCTCCTCGGGCTCCCACCCTTGCCATTCCCTTTTTTATTGAAATTATACAAACATTTGTGAGCTAAAATGATGAGGGGCCATTGTTGGGGACCCAGGCCCCCACAGACCTAGCCAAGCCAGAAGAGAGGCCAATTTAAAAAAAAAAAAAAAAAAAAAAAAAAGCAGGCATTATGTGCACTTGAGTCAAGATAGCAAAGAAGTCCCCCAACACTAATCTGTCAGTCTTTCCCCTTCTTCTGCCTCCTTGTTCCCTCCTTACACAGCCACTGTCCACAACTGGCCCTCGGGAGTTTATAATCTATTTTGTACAAAGGAAGCTGCCCCGTTCATGAACGGGGAACAAAAAGAGGGCAGAAGGCCCTGTGTTCAACCACAGCATTGCCAAAAAACGTCAACCCGGTCTATTATATTATGTTCCTTTAAAGCATTGTATAAAAAAGTCAAGTTCCCTTTCATCTACCCCTTTGGCTTCTTCACTTCCTCTCTCTCTAGAGACCCCTCAACATTCCCCCAATAATATCAGGTTGCTCTATATCCTTCCAGATCCCACGTATCCATATGTGTTTAAAACATATATGTTCTAAAACACATGGAAGTACCTATATGATATTGTTTGTGTTTTTTAAAAATGGTATAGTAAAAAATTATTCCACATCTTGCTTTTTTTCACTCAGCAATACCTTTTAAATCAAGCCATATTTGGTTTATATACCTCTTACTCATTTCAACTGCCATTAAATAAGCTATCATTTTAAGATACTATATCTGCTTACTTAACTGCCTATCAATGGATACTTTTTTTGCCTTTGGTTATTTTGTTTTGTTTTTGAGGCAGGATCTTCCTAAGTTTCCCAGGCTGGTCTTGAATTTATGATCCTCCTGTCTCAGCCTCCCAAGTAGCTGAGATTACAGGCAAGCACAACCACATGGGGCTTTGCTGGGCACATGAATAGCAGACATGTGTTTCTATTACTTTTAAAATGTTAAAAATGGACACTTTGTATAAACCTTCTCGGGCACACATTCACTGTTCTCTTTTTTATGGTAAAAATGTAGGAATAGAGTTGATAGTGGTAGAATCTGCAGGTTTTCCTTTTTAACAGTCACTACTAAATTGTTATCTCAAGTGGCTCCAAGGCTGACATTCTCCCTAGTTTGGGAGTTTCCCCACAGTCTTTGACACCAAAGTGAAATTTAAAGGTGTTTGCCTCCCAGAAGCTTGGGCCTTGGGTCCTGCTGCTGGCTTACCTTCTTTGGGTCGCACACCCACTGGTATTAACCGGCCATTTGATCAAGTGTTCTGTCTTCACAGATGACCCCAGTTGGACTTCTGCCCTTCCACTCTGCCATCATTTCTTCCTAAGCAGACAGCCTGGTCCGTGTTCCAGATGCTAATATTCTGCCTCC